ATGTTATCTCCCTGCCTATCTTCTAAAGAAAATTCTTCTTAGAAATCTCTCTGCACGTACACTTTTACATTCTTTTCATTCTACTCTTGATGCTAAAATTTCTCTCTTCAATCTGTTTTTCCCTTAAGCCTCCAAATGCCCTAAATTTATGTGCTAAATGTTATGAGTAATACTAATGTCATGCTGGTTTCAAGGAAAAGAAAGTTCATAAACTTAATGTTACATTACGTGTAATAAAAACTCAATACAACTGACCTCTAAAGTCCCCCAGAAGACCGTTTTAGATTTCCAGAAGAAAAAAATCTCCCTAATTAAATCTGGATTTCTTCAAGCACTAGCACTCTAGATAAATTAAAAGCTGCTCCTAGGCAGTATGAATCTTTAGTATATTTATTAGTACTGTAATGTTTCTTTCCCAGTATTGCAAAAGTAGCATTTCAGTGGTTAGGTTAAATAAATTTGGGGCAGGGGCTACCATAGAAACTTAACCCTATGTAACATTGTTTCAATGGCAAAAAAATGCTCTAGATGCTACACATCTTGGTTCAAATTATAAATTTAAGAGCTGAACCTATTTGGAAGTTAGACAAGTCCTATGTACTACATATAGAAAACTTGCTAGAAATATTTACCTATTTTTAATAAGATTTCTGGTTAAACACATGGAGTTCTGGAGGGTGGTGTGCTCAGGGAGGGCACCAAAGCTCTGCACCCCCTTGGCCCATACTTTGCTCTACACACTTCATCTATATCCTTTGTAATATCCTTTATAATCAACCAGTAAATGTAAAAATATGTCTGCAAATGTTTTGCTATTTCTATCTTTAGTGTATGGCCATACCACCCTGAATGTGCCTGATCTTGTCTGGTATTTAAAAAAAAAAAAAAAAAAATTGGGCTGGGCACAGTGGTGCACGCCTGCAATCCCAGGATTTTGGGAGGCCGAGGCGGGTGGACAGTGAGGTCAAGAGTTCAAGACCAGCCTGGCCGACATGGTGAAAGCCCGTCTCTAATAACAATACAAAAATTAGTTGGGCATGGTGGTGGGTGCCTGTAGTCCCAGCTACTCGGGAGACTGAGGTAGGAGAATCGCTTGAACCCAGGAGGCAGAGGGTGCAGTGAGCCAAGATCGTGCCACCGCACTCCAGCCTGGGTGACAGAGCAAGACACCGTCTTGGAAAAAATTAAAATATAAATAATAAATAATAAAAAAAATCCATATGCTTCAGCAGCTAAACTGATTCTGGTCGAGCTCAACAACACAGGTGAGTAAGAGAGGGAAAGGATTTGAGTACCAGTAAATAGATTGATTAAAGCAATCTTTTCAGATCTGTGCCCACTAGCCTCAAGTTAATGCGACCCACAGGAACCATCTGGAATAGGTTGGAACTCTAAGGGTGTTTGAGCCTCTAAATGGGCCTGACAGGAACTCTCTACTTCAAGGACGACCTAGAAAGAAAAGGCATGAATTCAATCCACAGAATATGAATCTCCGAATTGAACCAGAGGAGAACCAAATTCCAGAGGCCAGAAGGTGGGAAACTAATTTCATCACTGCTCATCCAATAGCCACCCTTGTTTTATCAGAGCTTTATTTAGTTCTTTTAGCTAATTGATAGAGTCAACAGCAGTCAGTTTTTTAGGATAAATCTTATAATATTTTCACAGAAATACAATTATAGTTTATACTCTCACTTATGTCTTATTCATAAAAGTTTAAAGCATCCCTGAACAAAGGTACAATTAAATTGATGCTTAATAAATGAATAATGTTTAAATACAACATCATGTTTCAAATTATATACAAACCTGAATACTCCATGACCTCCTCAGGGGATTTGCCCTCTACCTCTCGAGCTATGTTATCAATGTCATCTCTTCCATATTTCTCATTAGCTTTAATAAACTGGTTAAAATCTCGTTTAGTCCAGTTTGTGAAACCCTGTGAACAAAAAGTTAAGCATTATCAATAGAGGTTAAATTAATAAATCCATGTATTGTCCTATTTACCTCTGTACAATGATACATTAAAAAACAGTTTAAAATGCTTAAGATGTTTCTCCTTATAAAATTGCACGTATTTTATGTTGGAATCAAAAGTTGAGTGAGAGTTGTTAAAGAAATAACTGCTTTTGTATTACAAAGAGAATGTAATCTTTTCTAAGTACTTAAAGTTGATTTATAGTTCTAAGATCTGTAGTTTTTAATTTCATATTTTATAGATGCCTACTACATTAAAATACAAATGCATGAAAATAAAAATGCTAATATAAATGCTGAAGTCTTGATATTCTAGTACTTCAATGATTTTTTTTTTCACAGATCTGTTCCCATGTAAATTAAGAGAGGAATGTGGATGCATTAAATCCAAAGAACACAGAGGAATAACCAAAAGAGAATGTAAAAAAAGAAAAAAAAAATTTTTGTAGCTCTTTACATCATTCTGAACTAGTGTGAATAAATAATTTCTGTTCTAAATTATGTTCATAAATGGAACTTCTACAAGCAGAACGTTACTAGACCCACTCAATTTTTTTACTAAAACATAAAACACTTTAGCCAGTGTTCTAAATTCCCTTGGCATTATTAGCACGTCTGTGAAATCACAAGACCAAGAATTTGTTTTCCACTCCTCAAACCTCAGCTCACATAAATGTGATATTCTAGACATTGCAAAACTCTATCCGTGGCTTTTAGTTGATAAAGATTTCAGATGACCCCACATTTGTTCCTATGTACTGCCATGGCTTTAGAAAAAGATTATTTAAGGCAGCAGAGGAGGACAAAAACGAATTCATCTACTAGGAAGGGCAAAAAATTTCTAATTACAATCTAAAAGATTATCTCAGGTGAGACTGTATATTTTTGTTATACCATCCATTCACAATATACTCCAAGCCACGTAGCATTCTAAAGCCATAACTTCACTTTTGCATTCAGGAAATACATACAGAACCTGAATATTTAAATGTTTTCTTTTATTCTGTTGTAAGTCCCAATATTCAGCCATCTGCAATTATAATTTCAAACTAAACTTTATTACTTCCAGGCATTTGGCTCAAAAACTTGTGAATGTAATTTGCGAAAATTCATACAATTACATGTTATAACAATGAAAAGACCTATATAATAAATAATGTATAAATATAAAAACTACCTTTCAATAATTAATGTGGAGAATTACCTACTACTATGCATTGCACATTGTTCAAAATTTGTTGAATAAATAAATCTTCCTGGCAACCCTCTATATTAATGTCTTACAGCACACATTTTTGTTTATTATTTTGCAAGTCTTCTGTGCTGAAATTCTATCTTCTATAGTTTATTTTAGAAGTAGAACAATCATAAAACTCATCATAGCAATAATGACTTGAAAGCATTAATATTTTGTTCAAATGGAAAACTTCCTAATTTAATAATTGTTATCCAATGATCACCTTAAAAAGCTTCAGACATCTCTCATCATTGTATGAAAGTTCTAAGAAAGGATAAAAAGAATTTTGAAATTTATGAAATAATTCCATTAACAAAAATTAGTGGAATATAACTTCAGGAGACAATTCACATCTATAAACAAAAGAAATTTAAGTTTTCAAGAATATGTTTTAACAGGCTTGGCACAGTGGCTCACACCTGTAACACCAACACTTTGGGAGAACGAGGTGGGCAGATCACTTGAGGTCAGAAGTTTGAGATGAGCCTGGCCAACATGGTGAAACCCCATCTCTACTAAAAACACAAAAATTAGTGAGGCACGGTGGCAGGTGCCTGTCATCTCAGCTACTCAGGAGGCTCAGGCAGGAGAATCTCCTAAACCCGGGAGGTGGAGGATGCAGTGAGTTGAGATCGCACCATTGCATTCCAGCCTGGGCGACAGACGGAGACTGTCTCAAAAAACAAAAAAGAGTCTGTTAATAACTACTGTCAAAATTCAAATGTGGATTCACTGACCTTATTATAAATTGGCAAAATGTATTTCACATTGCTAATACTTGACACTTATATTTTACATATATATACTATCCACTATTTCTAAAATGGCATATTCTATAAGATCAATTTTTTAAAATAGGGATATTTGGTCTAAACATGTTTACAAAATAGCCCTGAGTTCTGTTGGTGTGTCACATTAGGATACTAGGCCCATACAATAAAAATTAAGTGTGATCTATATTTTCTTTTTTTCTACTGATTGATTGTAAGTATTTCAACCATTGAAAATCGTTTACTTGTGTGAGAAGTTTTTCCTTTTCTTCAGTCTCTTCTGGTGTAAGAGGTTCTGCTCCATCAATCTTTTTTTGCTCTTCTCTTTGAGCCAGAGCTGGATTTGGGATATCAGGATTTCTTGGGACCTATAAAATCAGGAGACAAACTAAGAGTAAACTGATGATAAAAATTAATTACTAAAGCTGTATATACACATATCAATCTTTAGAGTTATTTTAAGAGTAAACAATATAAAACCATAGCCAGAATGGCACATGGTCCTTTCTACATTTCTGCTACCATGATCCTATTGAAATTAAAAAATATTCTTGTGCCACATGAGATTTCATAGTTAAAACCCACCAGTAAATGAATGCCACATTAGATTTCAGATTTGATTATATTCTGGAACAGTCTATCCTTATACTATTGTAATACACAGAACAAACAAAAAGTTTGGCAGTTAAAAAAAAAGGTAGGGGGGCATATTCCCCTGGCAACATAAAGCAGGGTGGAGAAACGGTAATGCACCTAAACATTACATCCAATAGTCTGATCAGTTCAACACGCCAAAAGAAAGGAGTGCTTTTATTGCCTGCCAAGGTATGTAAGGGGAGAGAACATTTTTACATAAAATGGAAAGTTTGGAAAATGTAACAGGATAATGAAGAAAAAAGAGGAAACAGAGAATAGAAGAGGGAAGGGTAGAGTAGAGCACACAGACAGCTATGATAGGACCAGCAGTCAAGGGGGAAAAGGCTACAACAGCAGTGACCAACAGAAATCATTAATGGTGTTTTGGTTACAGAACTGCAAATACAGTGAAAACTAAGAAGAGAACTCGAGTTCTAAAGACAAGGACAGAAGCTCAGTTCTCCAAGAAAGCAAGCTGTCACCTGTATCTCAAAACCGTAGTCTGCAGAGCCTCAGTGTATCACAATGAGCATATACAACCAGTGTGGTTCAGCAGTATGGGGCTGAACTATACTGTTTGTATGGAGGAACAAACGAAAAAGCCCAAAGCCTGATGCCATCAGTATGTACATCTGTAGCTATAAGGAAGCACACTGATTTACGAGGGCAAGTACATAACATGTGTACTACACTGCATAGCATTCCATTAAACATGAAAATAAAAGGGCTGGCAGTAAGCCTTCTACTGCTTGAAATGCACACATACCATAAACGACTCATTCCCTAGGGGCATCAGATAGTCATGGTTTTATTAGAGTGGAATTAGAATACATATTAAAGTGCATTTTTATCACTGTTATAGGTATTTCATAGAGTTTGGAACTGTATCATTGTAACTTAAAAATAACTTTAAAAAATTATTAAGTCCAATAGTTCTCCAAGTATAAAACCTAACTGAGCATTAAAAAGAAATACCAAGAAAGTAGATTCACTTGTAATCATCAGTATCAGGCAACCAACTTGGCAGGTATTGACTAAATGTCTATTATGTTTGTAGAACTATGATAAGTACTGATTAGAATATACAAGAAATATAGGTTTTATCCCTTATCCCAAATGTTTCAGACAAGAAGTATTTTAGATTTCAGATTTTTTTGGGTGGGCAGGGAGTTGGAATATTTGCATTATACTTATCTGTTGAGCATTTCTAACTTGAGAATCTGAAATCCAAAAAATGCTCCAATGAGCATTTCCTTGGGGTGTTGTGTCAGAGCTCAAAAAGTTTTGGATTTCAGAACATGTCAGATTTCAGGTTTTCATATTAGGGAAACTACCTATATTGGACATGGTCCTTGCCCACAAGGAGCTCACAAACTAGTTGTGGAATTTTGAGCTGTACCTTAAGAACTCTAAGGATTTGGGGAGATGGAGAAGGAAGAAAGAATATTCTAAGCTAGAGCAGTATGAGCAAAAGCATGAAGGTAGAAACATGCCAGAAGGCACATAGGGGGTTTATGTTGAAAAGAGGTATGAAACAAGGCCGGGTAGAGACAGATTTACAGGGTCTTGAATACACAGAAGGTGCTGGAGACTTTTAACAAGACAGTGAAGTGTCAAAATGTAGTGTTTTCACCTGTAAGCCTTTTGCTGGATGGACTGAAAAGTGGGGAAGCGACTAAGAGGTAAGAGAACCTACTGAACTATCCTAATCTACAAATGAGGTATGATCATCTGGACTAGGATGGTGGCAAATGGAAATGGAAAAGAAGGTATACGTTTAAAATGAAATGTAGCCCAGTCATAGCATGATCAAAAACAACTTTTCTTCAGTGGCTAAAACTAAGGTTAAAATTACAGGCATACCAACAATTCCATTCCTAAGTATTTACCCAAAGAAAGGAAAACGTATCTATACAAAGAATGACAAGATTGTTCAAAGCAGCTTTACTCATCACAGCCAAATGCCAGAAAACAGCCCAGATGACCATCAAGAGAATGGATAAGCAAAGTGTGACCTATCCATACAATGGAATAGGTATTACACAATAAAAAGGAAAGAACAACACAGATACATGGGACAACATAGCTTACTCTCTAAAACATTATGCTAAGTGAAAGAAGCCTTGTACATACTGTATGATTCTATTTATGTGAAATTCTAGAACAAAAATTACAAAGATAATCTGTGGAGGGAAATATCAGAACAGTGGTTGCCTCTGAGGAGTGCATATGGTCACTGGGCACTTTCTGGGGTGACAGTAATGTTCCATATCTTTATAGAAGGGGTTCGGGTTACATAAGTGTATGCATTTGTGAAAATACACTGAATGGTACACTTACGGTTTATATATTTCACTCTATGTAAATACTTTTAAAAAATCATAAACAAAATACGACTCTGGCTAATGACATGCATGTTGAAGTGTTTCTGGGTAAAATGTACTTATATCTGCAACTTTGAAATGCATAATAATAAGATAAGTATCCATATGATAGAGGGCCAGGGAAAAGGAAAAATAGGTGAAAAAACAAATATAAGATGTAAATTGTAGAATATATGTGGTGTATATATGGGTGTTCACTGTACAATTATTTCAATATTTTTGTATTTTTTTTAATTCTTCAAATATGTTTTTCTAAAAGTACAGATACAGCTTTAAAAGTTAACAGAACCCTTAAATTGCTGGTATGTGAAATTACTTTGTTTTCAAATTTTAATTTTAATTGAAAGAAATCTCTTTGATCTTAAGACATTCTTCTATTAAATATTTTCAAAATTTCCATGTCTAAGAAACCATATTTTTAACAAAATGAAAATATTTTATAAACATCTAAGTTATGACAGAAAATAGATAATATACCCACATAAAATTAAATAAAATAAAAATGTTTATTCCCATGCAGATATCCCCATACTAAAAATTTTCCCTTTCAATTTCTAATAAAAGCAAAATCAGAATATTTTATAAAACCATTAGATTTTAGGATCCACTGAAATTTATTCTGTATCTAGTAGTCATATATTAATATTAATATTAACACAGCAAAACAAGAATGATTTCATGAAAGCTATGTTTGCTAATTCTAGAAATTACTCAAATACATAGCTGCTAAAATGTTTAGAATTTGAAAAGGCTCAAAAATTGTAAATTCCTATATCTATTCCTAATATGTTTTGGCTGTGTCCCCACCCATATTTCATCTTGAACTGTAGCTCTGAACTAAACTATATTATTGGTGCAGTTGATTAGAAATCAAGTGGCAACAGGAGGCCTAAGGTAAGACCATCTAAGAGCACAGTAACACTGGGGAATACCTCGGGGTGGTTACAGAGCAGGCACTACTGCTCTGGTCACATGAATGCCTTCTCAACATGGAGACTGCATCAGGGCGTCTTAAAAAGGGCTTGTGCAAAGACCTCTGAGAAGGGAGGCGACCTCTGCTCACAGGATCCGGGAGGGTCTTTTCAGATGGGAGCTGGCAAAGACAGAAAAGCCTTGCAGGGCTGAGGTCAGGCTCTGCCTAGGTTCTCGGAATATGGAGTAATTTTAGTTGCTCTAAGTCTCTAATGTTCGGCAGATAAAAGCCCCTTGATGCATTGGGAGTGGTCAGACCTGGTGGCTGCTCATCTGCTATACTTCTGAAGCAGCCGCACCCTGATAACAATCAGTGATAAACTCAGAGTACTAGTTTAGCATGTCTTAGAAGGATCTCAAGTGCTGTTAAATGCTCAGAGCACTGGTTTAGCTTGCCTTAGAAGGAGCTCAAGTGCCCCTCCCCCCATCTTACCTACCCCTTCACCCTCCCCTTCCATGCCCATAAGATCAATGAGATTATACACATAATAAAAGTGTATGGAGCCCAGAATTCAAGGCCAACGGAGTTCCCACGCTTGCGCTGGTCCCCTGGACCCATGCTGTAAATTCTACTCTTGTGTCTCTGTCTTTATTTCCTTTTCTCAATCCCTCATCACTGCCAGGACTATAGGCACCCATGTATGGGGTTGGGGCTGGCACCCAACACATGGCGGCAGATCTTTCCCATGCTGTTATCATGATAGTGAATAATTCTCACAAGATCTGATGGTGTTATAAAGGGGAATTCCCCTACACAAGTTCTCTCTTCCCTGCTGCCATGTAGGATGTGACTTGCTCCTCCTTGCCTTCTGCCATGACTGTGAGCCCCCCCCTCAAGTCCATGTGGAACTGTGAGTCAATTAAACCTCTTTTCTTTATAAATTACCCAGTCTTGGGTATGTCCTTATCAGCAGCGTGAAAACAAACTAATACACCTCCTATAAAAAAAAAACTTATCCTTAATAGTCATCATTTTAATAAGACATACAATTTTTTACCTCATGAGGTTCGTATCAGCATTAAGCTTCCTGGAATGACTTCAAAGTGCTACATAAGAATTAAGCAGACAAATTACAGACCAATAGTACTGAACAGATATCTAGGAGGTATTTCAAGTCCTCATACTCTATGTCTCATTATCATCTCCAGCAACACAATATATAAAAAGTTATCTTTCTAAAGGAAAAATCTCAATTATTATTTGGATTTCTAGTCAGACACTAAGGAATTTGTGATTAAGAACTGTATTCCATGAAGTAGTGAAAAACATTTTTTGGGCCTTGTTTCTTAGGAGTTTAGCAAGCATTGCGTAGAAAATACAGAATACTGAATTAAATGTGACAGCACACAAAATAAAAGCAGTAACCTGAAATCAGCTCACTGTATTTTAGTTATACCACTGCAAAAACAGGTGGCCCACAATGACAGATTACCAAAACTCACAAAGACGATGGAACTTCCTCCATGTGTCGAATGTGTATATTAGTCCCTAAGGAATTTTTTATTGGGGACAAACGTCAGAATGTTCTACAGCTTTCTTTAGCTTCAAATGTGGCAAAACTCTTGCATTCCAGGTGTTAGACTCAATGGAATGTCCAGATATTCTGGATTTTTTATGCTGCAATTGAAATTTCAATTAAGTCATCCTCTTCCAATATAAAGGTTTTAGTGACCAAGTGACTGCATGCATTAAATAACAACTCCTTTAAGTCAAAAGAGCAATGAAGCCTTTGAATATGCCTAACTTGCGACAAGATCAAAGCTTAGACAGCAGCAGGAATGAGCAAATCATGTACTGCTATCCACCAAGTGGTTAGGGCAAAACAAATGCTTCTCTCACCTTCAAATAAAACAAAACTCTTTAACTCCAGATCTTATTATCAGTAATATTGCTGTCACCTTGTGCTGAATATGGGAGTGGGAAGGAGGGAAGCAAAATAGAAAATGAAAATGCAAATAAGCAGGAAGTACAAGGAAACCACTCTTTACCAATTGCTTCAAAACTTGTGAGCACTTCACTAGCCCCACTCCAAATCACAACAGAATAAGCCTTTGAGGACTTAACATAGATAAAATGTAACCATGAACCACAGTGTCCCCAGCTAGGGGCATCACCTATCTCCCCTTGGCTAACAATCCTTTAAGCAGTAAAGTGGAAAGAGTCCCTTTTTGAAAATCTGTGTATACAGAATACCAGGTAGCTTCACTGAAGCAGTTTTGTTTTGTTAATTTGAGGATAAACTAGTGTTCCACTCACTTTGTGGCCCTGATGAGTTTTCTGAAGGTATGAGGGGGAAATAAAGCAATGCTAGCCATGCCTTGAGAAGATATGTCTAATGGTTACACAACACATGATCCTTGAAAGGCCTTTTAAGATGATTAACATGCCGTGCTGATCTGTCTATTCTCTGAACTCAAACAAAAGAACACCCAATTAAAGAACCCACCTTAGCTCAGGTCCATAGTTCCTAGCAAAGAATGGAAGAGACAAGGTCCAGAAAGAACCAATAACCAATATCTGCCTCGTAAATCCTCAGCTAAGTATGCATAGGGAGGATCAAGGCAAGTCTTAAGACAATACAGAGGCAATCTAGGATGGGGCTTAAGAGAGCACAAGGCTAGGAGTAGAGTAGTAGGGGACTGGTTCTCCTTCCACTACCACCACCGCGGTCCAGGTCACCACCATCTTCTCTCATTTTGATACTTCAACAGCCTCCTGGCTGGTTTCCCTGGATAAACTTGCCATTCTCTGCATCATAGCTAGAGTGATCTTTTAAAAATGTAAATCTGATCATCCTTTACCATTTATAAGTTGTATGACATTGAGCAAATGACTCAGGACAAATGACTCAACCGCTCTATGCCTCAGTTTCCTCATCTGTAAAATAAGGATGTAGTTCCAGGGCTGTTAGGAGGATAATGAGCTAACATTTATAAATAACCTGGAACAATAAGTAACACAAGTAAGGACTAAGTGTCTGCTATTAGTATTATTTTACCGCCTACCTACCCACCCACTTCCCTGCCTTAAAAACATCTCAGTGGGTTTCCTCTACTCTAAAGCTAAAGTTCAACCTCATTAATATGACCTACAAAGCCCTCCATATGATTTGATTCTACCCACTCGCCAGCCTCATCTCAAGTCACCCTCCTCCTCACTAGTCCCTAACAACACTGGCCTTCTCAGAGCTCCCAAAAGGGGCTATTCTCCTTCCCACCTCAAGACCTTTGCATATGAGGTGCCACCTGCCTCAGCTTTTCTCTCCTACACTTTAGACTTAGCTCATTCACATCTCTGGAAACTCAGCTTCAATGACACTTCTTTAGGGAACACTTCCCTGATCTACCAGTCCACATGAGATACCCATGTTATACTCCCTCATCAGCATCCCTTGTAAGCACAGAACCACACAAATACCACCATCATTACACTGTAGTAGCTAATATCTATCTCCTCTATTAGAACGTTAAGTTCCATGAAGTGAAAGATTTTGTCTTATTCACTGCTTTATCCCGAAGTGCTTGGCCCAGTACCTGGCACAGAGGAATGCTCAATAAATAGGTATTAAACTTTAAAAAAAAAAAAAAAAAGTCCTCCTTTTACTCTTTTTCCCTCTCCTCTAGCTTCTTTAGGGGAAGTGAGGAAAAGCAAACACTAAGGTGCAATAGCACCAATTCCATGCCATCTCCCCTCTACCTATTCATCCCTTTCCTCTATTCTTACACCTCTCCTCCTCCTCCTTCCTTTCTACCACGCTTCACAGCTGTCCCTTCATTCCTCCATCTTCTGAGTTTCCTCTCTTCTCCATGTCCTTCCAGCTGGCCACCATCCAAAAAGTCACTGTAAGACTTCACCCCTAACCACAAACTGCCTGTAATGAAAGGCACTGTTTATACTGAAACCAGACCCGTGGTCAGAATTTGGTGGGCACTGTAAATTATCATGGGGAATAAAATTTCAGTATCTCCAAAGAAGGAGCATAAAGTTATATCAGAGATGAGTTTTTTTATTGTTGCCACTTGACTACCACTTGGCCCACCTCCCAAATGTCATGCCACACCATTGTAAACACAGTCCTTATTTAGGACTGCAGAAAGAAGCAGGGTTACATCACATGCAGAAAAAGCCCAGAAGGTCTGAGTGGAACAAACAGAGCATCTGAATACTAAGAAGTTACTTGTGAGACCAGGACCCATGGCAACCCTGTTAGCGCCATGATCTTGAACAAGGTCATTTAACCTCTCTGAAGTTCAGTTTCCTCACCTATTAAATGGAGATGATAATAACACCGACTTCATGAGGTTGTTAGGAATCAAATGAACTATGTGCTAAAGCACTTTGTAAATTATAACATGTTCTATGCAAATATTTGATTACTGAGGTCTAACATTTCAATTAATTCTCCTTTCAAGTCTCAGTAATAACAATTAAAGTAACAGAAAATAATATTCTAAACCTAAAATTACTATAAACCTTAATGAGATATGTATTTACCTCATAATATAACTACTTCATTATTAATTTAAATATTTAATAATTATTGTTAATAATTAATTATTATTAATTTTCCTACTTTTGTTTTGCATTTGAATCTATAACTTACCTGTTTCTTCTGGCATATCACTGTTTTCACTTTCTTTGAAACTAGTTTTATGTCTGATGCGAATGTTCACCCTAGAGATCTACTCTAGTTCCAATACATAAATGAGTTAACTATCTTATATACATGGAGCTTTTCTAGATGCATTCCAACTACTAATTTAAAATAATGGGTCAGTTCTAATTGTGATAAAGGTTTACAAAATGAAATTTAAAACACAGCTATCAATTCATAAGACAGAACATTTCATACAATTAAAATAGTGTTAATATTTTATAATTTTTTTTTTTTTTTGAGACAGAGTCCCCCTCCGTCGCCCAGGCTGGAGTGCAGTGGTGCGATCTCAACTCACTGCAATCTTCCCCTCCTGGAGTCAAGTGATTCTCCTGCTTCAGCCTCCCTAATAGCTGGGATTACAGGCATGTGCCACCACGCCAGGCTAATTTTTGTATTTTTAGCAGACACGGGGTTTCGTCATGTTGGCCAGGCTGATCTCAAACTCCTGACTGCAAGCGATCTGCCCCCCCTTGGCCTCCCAAAGTGCTGGGATTACATGCATGAGCCACTGTGCCTGGCCGATATTTTATAATTTTTTAATATTAGTGATTATTATACCTTTGGTCATCCCTCTCCATTCACTAGGAAGTCAATTTCGACATACAGAAATTACCTGGTATGCTTACTCTCTCAATATGACAGATTTAGTGTGACAAATACTAGATTTCACTCATGAAAACTAGGATTCTATCTATCTATATAAATCAGAATTCCTAATACCAAAAGATCATTTTAAAATTGTATAATTCATTATCACGTTTATCATTATCTTTAACACCTAAGTGACTACAATCTACTAACCACTAGCAAGGCTTTCATCAACCTATAAGCAATAAAGACAGAAATACTATTTCTTGGACCTATTAAGGAAATTATCAAAAATTTCCTATCATACATTAACATTTGTTTCTAACCACATACCTATTGTACTTTCTACATATTATTTAACCATTCAAACACTGGCATTATAAAAATAATATGTTGTTATTACTATTTTGAAATATTGCACAATTCTTCGTTAATCTCATTTAGTGATGACTGTAGTGGTAATTCAGTAGCTTGATGTTTTACAACTAAACTTCCTCTTTGGTTTTAAAAACATCATTGTTGTGATTTACTGTTACATTCTCTGAAATTAAAATGCAACACCTTCTAGTCTAGATTAGCAGATTAAATTATTTTAGAATCTATTAATCTAAAAAAATTGAAAAAATACCTTATAGCCTATTGTCTTCCGATAATAAAGAATTTCCTTTTCCAGGAGCTCAAATAAGCGTGGTGGGAAAAATTGAAAATCCTGAACATTTGGCTGTTTTGGAGGCCGTGGAGCCTATGAGAGGAAAATGGATTATATATACCTCTTTTCAGTACATGAAGTAAACTTACTTATCTTTTACTATTTCTGTTATATATGAAACAATAAATACAATGAAATCTATTTATGTGGCTGGGCCAAATCAAATACATTTTTGTATTGCTATATTTTAGAGACTATGATTTGGCAATGATATAAGTAAATCTGAACCACAGATCATGTTGCAAGAGAAATCTACTTTAGGACATAAAAACTGGCCTTGTCCAGTTTTACCTTTGGAATCTTTGGCTCACTGACACGCAAAGCCTCTCTAAAGTAGGCATCCACTGCGTAGTTTGCTTTGCGTTCTCGCTTAGGCGGTTCGATCCATTCCACCATGCCAAGCTATACACGACAAACAACAACAAGGAGTTTAATGACTCCAAACAGTTTTATCAAAATCAAGTACATCAAGGCTGCAGAAACGTAAGTAAGCAAAAGCCATCAGGAAGAATCAAAACTTGCTTTATAAATCACAATTTACCTCCAAAGTTCCAAAATGAAGTGTACACCGCTTAGATGCAAAGACAGTTTTCTTTATTTTTATTTGAAAGTAGGTTTAAAAACTAGTTCTTCCTTGATGATTGAGAAGAATCTGTATAATCTGCTTAGCATTTTTTGTCAAATTAAATAAATAAAAGGTAGCTAATATAGCAGGAAGAGTAACATTGACTGTGGTAACTGTAGTAAGTGTATGAATTAGAAACAGATGAAAGGGGTAAATAATAAATATCACCATGATAAGCATGTTCAAATGAGACCTTCTAGAAATGTAGGTATGGCAGAGTTGGAAAAGTTGGTGGAAACAGAAAGACCTAGACTCTGCCACTTCACTAGTTGTATAACTTTGGGGAAATTATTTTTTTCCATCTTCAAAATGAGAATAATAATACCTACCTTGAGGATTACATATGTTCATATGTGTGAAATCATTAAGTAAACTGCCAAGAGTTAAATGCAAGATATTATTAAACATCCTAAGTAGCATGAACAATGATTTGGTAGCATTACTAATTTTACACTATCATTGGCTAGAAAATATAATTTAACAGTCAACAGATAAAACTGACACTACAATGTTCTGGAGTTTGAGAAATGGCTTCCTAATTCATATTTTTCTTGATTTCAGTGCTTAACCTAGTGTCTTTATAGAAAAGAGAGCATTAATCTACCATTAGTTATCTCACTCTACTTGATCTAATCTAGGGGCTGAATTCCAACCTTGACATCATATTTTAAGAGGGGATAACAAACCAAGATGACCAGGATGGTTACAGATCTACAAATTCTCACAGTGTCTAGAGACGTAAAGGCTAAAGGCAGACACAATGGTGGTATTCACATCTGTGAAACTCTATCAAATAGAATAGAACACAGTTCTTTGTTGATCTATAAGATTAAAATCAATGTGAAAAGTTAGGAGAAAGTCGATGGCTACTCAATATAATTTAACTGTTAATTAAGTACCTACTGTATTATGTGTAACTCAGTGTCAGAGATATACAGATGAATACAATAATCTCTTTCATCAAGAAACCTGTAACTCAAAAAGTTTTCTGAGAACCAGAGAATATAAGACATCGAAACAAGCCACCCTGAGAGGGATAAGATTCCCAACACTACAGTGTTCAGAGGCTGCTTATCTCTTTCAGATGCTAAAGATGAGATTTCTTAATTACAAGAAAGTTAGCATAAATGACCTTCTAACTCTAAGAGCCTATGAGATATCGACATTATAATGAGATT